GCCGCCTGGTACTTGGCCGGCCGGTGGGCCAGCAGGTTGCGCAGGGCGGCAGCGCTGCCCATGGCGATCATCTTGTGCTTGGAGTGCACCAGGTTGCGCAGCATGCCCACGGCGCCCAGGTCCCACAGCAGTTCCTGGTCGCGGGAGCTGCGGGCCGACAGGTTCCACAGCGTGCCACACGCGTTGCTCACGATGGTCAGGCTGTGCGATGTCAGGTGCTGCAGCAGCGTCTGCAGGCAGTTGTGGTCCCGCAGCACCTGCCTGCGGAGGAGCGGTCAGGCCCCACCCGCCGCCCCGCCCTGACCGCCCGCATCCCACCAGCAGCGAAAAGGAGGTGCCCAGGTAACTTTGAATTTCAGGAAAGAGATTAAATATTTAGTATAAGTATATCTCAAATATCAAATGGGCTGTGCTAAACTTTTATTTATTAATAGCAATGAAATACTTATTAAATAAAATAATGCTAACATAGTAATATTTCTCTTTTTAAAAAATAATGTTTATCTTTTAAAGTGAATAGTTCTAGTATATCTCATTTTAATGCACCTAAGCCTTGTGGTGTTTGGGGTATACTAAAGACTGATTTTTGCTTGCTTTAAAAAATACTTTTTATTAATTCATTAGCATTATTTAATAAATTGAAAAAATTTTTTAAATTGAAGTATAGTTGATTTTACCATGTTGTGTTAGTTTCTGGTGTAAAGCAAAGTGATTCAGTTTTACATAATATATATTCTTTTTCATTATAGGTTATTACAAGATATTGAATGTAGTTCCCTGTTGTTTATCTATTTTATATATAGCAGTTTGTAGCTGCTAATCCCAGACTCCTAATTTATCCCTTCCCCCTACTTCCCCTTTGGTAACAGTAAGTTTGTTTTCTCTGTGTCTCTGTTTTGTAAATAAGTTCACTTGCATCGTATTTTAAATTCAGCATATAAGTGGTATCATATAATATCTGTCTTTGTCTGACTAATAATCTCTGGGTCCATCCATGTTGCTGCAAATGGCATTATTTCGTTTTTTTATGGCTGACTAGTATTCCATCATATATGTATGTACACCGCATTTTCTTTATCCAGTCTTCTGCTGATGGACATTTAGGTTGCTTCCATGTCTTGGCTGCTGTAAATAGTGCTGCTGTGACCACTGAGGTGCATGTATCTTTTCAAATTAGAGTTTTTTTCTTTTCCAGATGTATGCCCAGGAGTGGGATAGCTGGATCATACGGTAAGTCTATTTTTAGTTTTTTAAGGAATCTCCATACTGTTTTCCATAATGGCTGCACGAAACTACACTCCTACCAGTATGTAGGAGGGCTCCCTTTTCTCCACACCCTCTCCAGCGTTTATTGTGGATTTTTGAATAATGGCCATTCTGACTGGTGTGAGGTGATGCGTCACTGTGGCTTTGATTTGCTTTTCTCTGATAACTAGGGATGTTGAGCATCTTTTCACGTGCCTGTTGGCCATCTAGATGTTTTCTTTGGAGAAATGTCTATGTAGGTCTTCTGCCCGTTTTTTGATTGGGTTGTTTGTTCCTTTGTATTGAGTTGTATGAGCTGTTTGTATATTCTGGAAGTGAAGCCCTTGTCAGTCACACCACTTGCAAGTATTTTCTTCCAGTCTGTAGGTTGTCCTTTTGTTCTGTTTATGGCTTCCTTTGTTGTTTATTTTTGCTTTTATTTCTGTTGCCTGGGTAGACTGAACTAGGAGAACACTGCTGTGATTTATGTCAGAGAATGTTTTGCCTGTGTTCTTGTCTAGATTTATGGTGTCCTGTCTTATGTTTAAGTCTTTAAGACTTTTTGAGTTTATTTCTGTGTGTGGCGTGAGGGAGGGTTCTGACGTCACTGATTTGCATGGAGCTGTCCAGCTTTCCCAGCGCCTCTTGCCGAAGGGACTGTCCTTTCCCCATTGTATAATCTTGCCTCTTTTGTCAAAGAGTAACTGACCACAGGTGTGTGCGTTTATTTCTGCGCTGTTTGGCCCATTGATCCATAAGTCTGTTTTTGTGCCAACATCATGCTGTTCTGACCACTGTAACTTTGTAGTATTGTCAGAAGTCTGGGAGGGTTATGCTTCCAGTTTCATTCTTTTTCCTAAAAGTATTGTTTTGGCAGTTCTGGGTCTTTTGTGATTCCATATAAATTTTAGGATTATTTGTTTTAGTTTTGTGAAAAATGTCCTGGGTAATTTGATAGAGATCGCATTAAATCTGTAAGGGTTGCTTTGGGTAGCGTGGCCATTTTAACACTATTAACTCTTCCAATCCAAGAGCATGGGCTGCCTTCCCGTGCCTTCAGCCGTCTTTAACTCCCTTAGTCGGTGTTCTCCGGGTCTCAGGGTGTGCGTCTTTCACCTCCTCCGTCAGGCTTGCTCCTAAGTATTTTTTTGATCCAGTTTTTAAGAGGGATTGTTTCTTTGCTCTCCTTCTCTGCTATTTCATTGTTAGTGTGAAGAAGTGCAGTAGATTTCTGTATGTTACCTTGCGTCCTGCCGCCTTGCTGAATTCTTCTATCAGCTCTAGTCGTTCTTGCGTGGAGCCCTCAGGGCTTTCTGTCTATAGCATCATGTCATCTGCGTCTAGGGACAGTTCTACCTCTTCCCTTCCAGATTGGACCCCTTCTCTTTCTTCCTCTTGCCTGGTTGCTGTGGCCAGGACTTCCAGCCCTGTGTTGACTAGAAGCGGTGAGAGTGGGCGTCTTTGTCCTGTTCCAGATGTTAGCGGGAAGGCTTTCGGCATTTTACTGCTGAGTAGTGTGCTGGCTGCGGGTTTGTCATAAATGGCTTTTATTATGTTGAGATATGTTCCCTCTCTACCCACTTTGGTGAGAGTGTTTGTCATGAATGGATGTTGACTTTTATCAAATGCTTTTTCTGCATCTATTGAGATGACTGTGTGGTTTTTGTCTTTTGTTGATACAGTGTATCACATTGATTTGCAAACAAATTTTTATTTTGATAAAATCTTTAGCACAAGTATATCCTGGGATATACCAAAAAAAGTGTTTTCATACATTGAAGCATTACTTTTTATTAGTCTTAAGTGATATTTTATTTAGTAAATAATAAGCTTTACTGTTATCTAAAAAAGTGGTACGTTTTTATTTGAATAAAGGAAAATTCAATGTAAGTATATCCCTTGCAATATTTGGTATATACTTACACTAAAAAAAGTATGTATTTGCCTACATTAGAAGCATTATTATTGTTACCTAGTAAGCAATAAATGCTTGTTATTCAAGTAATGTTTATTAACACTATTTAGTGAATATTGTATTTATTTTCATAAAGAATATTATTTTTTAGAAAATTATATATTTTGTATGAATTGATTTAAAATTTAGTATAAGTATATCCCATGCAATGTTTAGGATACACTTACACTAAAAAGATTTATGTATTTGCATACATTAGAAGCATTGCTTATTATAAATGTTAACTACTAAATAATAAGTATATTAATAAAGAATAGTGTTTACTTATTAATATTACTCAGTGAATAATATTTTCATGAAGAACAAATATTCATTAATATTATTTAGAAAATTGCATGTATTTTTACCAAACTAACGTAAAATTTAGTCTCCGTGTAGCCCATGTAATATTTGGGGTATGTTTACACTAGAAAAGTAGTCCCCGGGGACAGGTCGGGACCACCCGTCTGCAGGAGGACGAAGGGCGCCCCCCCGCCCACCGCGAGCCGCCCCCGTCCCAAGGGCCCACCATCCCCGCGCCCTCCCCGCGCTGCCCCCAGGGCGGCGGGGCCGACCTGTAGTCCTCGCGGGTGGCGACGAGGCTGGACACGTTGCGCAGGATGCCGCCGCCGCTCTCGATGATAGCCAGCGAGTTGCTCTGGCACTTGTAGGTCAGCGTGCTCACCAGGAAGCCCAGGGCGCCATCCACCTGGCAGATGGCGGCCTTGTTCTCCGTGCTGTGCGCTGAGAGGTTCCACAGGGCGCTGAGCACACTCTTTAGGGTGGACTCCTGGGCACAGGGAGGAGCGGGAGGGGGTCAGCAGTGAGGGCCCCAGGCCCAGCCCCACCGCAGGGACCCTCCCCATCGAGGCAGTGACAAATAACACCCAAACGCGTTTTCAAGTAAAAGTAAAAAGTAATGGGATCCACTGTCCCCTGGTTGGAAGCCCCAGGCCTGGACCACCTGCCAAGTGGCAGGTGGTTTGGCTTGATTTCCTCCCAAGACAGAGAACTCACCACCTGCCGCCAGTGCCTCCCTGCCCCCTGGCTCGCGCTTAGCAGCCTTGGTGGCCCCCTTTCCCCTGGCCCCAGCCCAGCACCCCAGCCAGCGCCCACCTTGGTGGCTCGCAGGACGCACTGCGTCAGGGCAGTCATGCTGCCCACCTCCCTCAGCACCTTCTTGCTGTTGATGTCAGCCCGCCAGGACAGGTTCCGCAGGATGCTGGACACCACCTGCGCAGGCGCAGAGCAGGCACCTTGGGCCCGGGCCAGGCTCCAGAGGCAACCCCACCCCTGCCCTTAACCCTGCCGCCAGCAGCGGACACCACACCGAGGCGCCACCCTCCGGGTACCTGGTGGAGCTCCTCGCTCTCAGACGCCAGCTGGGCCACGATGGCCTCCATGCAGCCCCGGCGGGCGCACAGCGTGGCCTGTGGGTGACGCAGGAAAGTCACGCTGTGGCAGGAGGGCCCCCTCCCATGCTAATGGAGTACTTACTGTGTGCTAGCATTTGGACCCCAACCTCCCATCTTCACCATCACGGGGGAGGGGGAGGGAGCAGTCGCCCTTCAGATGCGGAAACTGAAGCTCCAGAGGCACAGACACCAGCCCCACCCCAACCCCCGCCTACCCAGAGGTGCCCCTCTGGGGGCAGCAGCAGAGCGGCCAAGAGGACAGTGTCCTGCCTGAGGGAGGCTCTGGGCCTCAGTCTCCCCACCTGTAAATTGGGAACACCTGTCCCCACCTCCCAGTGCTACTTTGAGGCAGGGATGAGGACAAAGGGGGCTTAGACCAGAGGGGCTGCTGCCCCGCCGCCTGCCCACGCACCTTGTTGGCAACATCCCCGAAGGTGAGGTTGGTGAGTGTCATGCCAGCATATCGGCGCAGGGCCAGGTTCAGAGGGTCCTGGGTCATCTTGTGCATCTCGTAGTCAACCTGCAGTAACTCCGCCACGGCCTGCAGCCCACCTGGGGGGACACGGCAGCGCTGGGGGCGGGCGAGCATCCCAAACCACCTGCCCTCCTCCCAGCCTCTGCCCACACAGTTCCTCTGGTTAGACATCCTCCCCTCCATCCCACTGCCAGATCAGCTCTCCCCCAGGTCCACCTTTGAAGCCCAACTCTGGGGACGCCACCTCCAGGCAGCCTGCCACCAGTCAGGCTGCCCTGCATCTCCACACTCGCCTCCTTTCTGCCCTCAGCCTTCAGTCACACTTCGTCTGCGGGGCTTTTGCACATGCTGCTCCCTGTGCCTGGATGCTGTTCCCTGCTATTCACCCAGTCTCCTGGGTCCCCTTCTGCTCAAGAGTCACCTGCTCAGGGAAGCCCCGTGACTCCCCAGATGAGAAGTCCCTAAGACCATTAGACTATGAGCCACTGAGGGCAGGACTGGGTGCCTGTGACCTGCACACACAATTCTTCACTCACTAGGAAAAGGATTTTCACTTTACAAAGAGAATGAATGTTGGGGAGGAGAATGGTCAGCGTGAGTAGAAGGGAAAGAGCCCGCAGGAACCCAAACACCAGCTGCCACCCCCACCCGCCACTCAGCAATGGCTCCTCCTGTGCTGGACAAGCAATTTTGCTGATGGGCATGCCGGTAAGGAGCATCCTGGGGAAGGCAGGCAACACAAACCAGAAAACTCCCAAAGTGAGCCACACATGCACGTGCACAGCACGAGTCATGACAGCCAGAAGGTGGCAACAACTCGAGGGTCCATCAACAGATGACAGACACACACCGTGTCCCTCCCCACGTGGGAGGTCACTCAGCCACGAAAAGGGGAGAAGCTCTGACGCCCGCTCCCACGTGGACGGACCCTGAGAGCACGATGCTCAGTGAGAGAAGCAGACACAGAAGGACACACAGCGTGTGAGTTCATGGATGTGAAATGTCCAGAACAGGCCAGTCCGCAGGGACAGAGAGGGGGCTCCTGGCTGTCAGGGCTGGGGAGGGGGAGGGGGAGTCAGTGTTTAACGCGGACAAAGGTTCAGTTTGGGAAGGTGACGAAGTGCTGGAGAAGGGTGCTGCGGTTGCTGGCACAGCATGGATGTACCTAATGCCACCGAGCTGTGCCCTTACGCATGGCTAAGAAGGTGAATTTTATATGTTTTACCACATTTATATAATACATACACATTTTACCACAATCACATTTTACCACAGTTTTAAAAATGTTTAAATACATAACTAGAAGTTGAGGGGGGGAAATTCCAAAGGCTTTTTGCTTCTTAATGTAGAAACTCCACTCCTGGGAACCCACACAAAGGAAAAAAATAACAACAACAACAAAAAAAGAGTGAACTGAGCTGAGCTATGGGTGGAGCACTTTTCCGGGAACTAAGGGACTGCTCACCTGAGTGGGGCCCTGGCCACCAGTGGCAAGCAAGCATTCTGGTCTTGGGACCCCTGCACACTCTGAACATTTTTTGAGGACCCCAGAGAGTTTTCGTTCAGGTGGGTTACAGCTAGCAAAATTTACCAGACTGGAAACTAAAATGGAGAAACCTCTGAACCCCAGAACGTGCAGCCCAGTGGTCCTCAGAGTCGGAGGGTGTGGAAAGCCCCACTGGACACGTGCACACGAGAGAACGAGCATGGAAAAGGCCGGTTGTTAGCTTACCCACATGACAGTGCCTTTGCAGACCTCTTGGAAGGAACTTGGTAGCCCCCAGGGGTCCCGGGACCCCGCCGTGAGAACCGCCGTTTTATCACGTGGAAGGGGCACGTGTTCCTAGTGTGCGTTTGTCAGAAGGGGTTGCCATGAAACCGGAAATTCTCCTTCCCGCCCCTCATTGCTGGCGGGGAGGACAGCCCCTATTCTCTGGGTGTACTGTCCCCCCATCGACCCACGGAGAACTGAAGAAGTCTGTCTAACGGGCTGCTGCGTCCGACCGGCCCCCTGCCGTCGGGCACTCCTGCTGTGTCGGGGTGGGGGTCTCACTTGGGTGGGTGGCTGCCTTGCTTGTTTCCCTGCACCTCTGTATGTAAATCCAGCCAGAGGATAAGCCCCCAGCCGGGGGCCGGGGGTGGGGACTCGAGGCGTCTCCTCTCTTAAAGTGTCCGTTATTCCAAATGCCCCTGGAGGAGGCGGGGTATAGCTCAGGGGTACAGAGTGAAAAGCTCCCACTTAGCATGCTTGAGGTCCTCGGGTCAATCCCCAGCACCTCCACTATATACATACAAATAAAAGTCAAGACAAAATCGCCCCTTCAGAAAGCTCTCCTCCACTGGGTTCGAACCCATTTCCACATGGGGTGGAGGACCACAGTGAGATCCTACAAAACTGAGCACGTTGACCACATGCTGGGTGAGAAGTGGTGCCTCATTTTGTAACCATTAGAGTCAAGCTGAGCACACTGACGGGATTTTTGGCCCTTGGTCTTTCCTTTCCCACATTGCCAGTATTGTTATGTGGAGGAAGAGCTGCGGTAGCTCGCAAACCTCAACTTCACAGGGTGGCCCCGCCCCGCCCCGCCCTGGAGCTCTGCGCACTGAGCTGGAACCTTCCCTTTGCAGTTGGCTTCCTGGCCTCTTCGCTGTTCTCTGAGCCTCGGGACCACAAGGGCTGAGAGCCTGCCCTGGTCTGAACGAAGCAGGGAGGCCTCGAGCCAAATGCGGGTGGGGCTGCGCTCAGGGAGGAGGGTGGGCACTCACCCAGCTCGTTCATGGCCCGGCGGTACTCCTCGTCGAACGACAGCTTCATCACAGCACAGGTGGCCTGGCAGATCTGTGGCTCGATGGGGACGGGGGCTGTGGGCGAAGGGACCAGGTCAGAGCCCTCCCACTCCAGGCAATGTCGGCTGGCCCCTCCCCAAAGTCTCCACCCCTCCGGCCTGCAAAGACTCCAGAGCTTTCCAAACTGCTGCTGGCTGGGCATGTGGGGGTCACTCCTAGAGCAGCAGGCCTCCTTCACGGACCCTCTGAAGTGAACGAGGAGATGCCTGCCTTCCCCGGCCTGGTGCTCAGCATCTGATACTAACTTTGCTGGTGGGGCGGCGGGTGTAGCTCAAGTGGTAGACCGCATGCTTAGCATGAGTGAGGTCCTGGGTTCAATCCCCATACATCCTCTTACAAGTAAGTAAATAAATAGACCTAATTACCTCCCTTACCCTCCTAAATAAATAAATAAATCCAAATTTAAAAATTAAAAAAAAACCATTTTGCAGCCCCCTGCAAAAGCTTGGAATCTCAAACTCTGTGTCCACGTTTCCAGGGTGACCCACAATCCAGCCATGCAATCAGTGACTGCTTCCTGAGCATCTGCCCTGCGGCGGCAGCGCTAGGGTGTCATTTTTAGGGGCTATCCCTTTGCCAGTCTGTCCTCACAGGTTCCCACAAGGCCTCTGCTGGCGGGTGGCACAGAGCAAGGCTAAAGCCAGAGGCTGTCCTTACTGCTAACGGCATTGCCCCACCACCCAGGAAGCCCGGGCTGCATATCCATCGCACAGAAGCTGCACACTCACCGCCGCTTCCCTCGGGCCCGCCGTCCTGGGCCTGCAGCCAGTCCCAGCAGGTCTCACAGTAGGCGCGGATCTGCTCCAGCACGTGCAGGACACGCATTTCCTTGCGCGCCAGGCCCTGGTCTGGCTGGGAGAAGACGATGTTGTGCAGCGCTGCGTTGGCGCGCATACGTGCGTCCTTGGCTCCCGGCGCCCCAGGGTTCCCATGGCGGCCCCCAGACCCCGCCTCGGTGCCAGTGCCATGCAGGATCTGCAGCAGCAGCGGCAGGCAGCCCGAGCGGCGCATGGCCACACAACTCTCGGGTGAGCTGGACATGGCGAGCAGCGTGCGGGCTGTGTCCTCCTGGTCACGCGTCGCCAGCATGGACAGAAGCCAAAAGACCACCTCCACCTGCGAGGGGCAGGAGACGTCAGGGTAGGACTCCTGCTTGGATCGCCTGGCCCCAGTCAGCCCACCTGCACTCCCCAGCCAGGGGCAGCCAACAGCAGCCCTGGTGACTCCTTCTCAGCAGGCGGGAGTCTAACAATTCAGCCAGGAGAGCCTCGCGCTCATCATTCCAGACCCTGGCTGTGCATCCTGTGGGGCGCACACACCCACATATCACTGCAGAAATGCCTCCAGCCCCTGAGGGCCAAATGCCACCCCATCGACCTCACCAGGTACTCCTAGGGTTGGCCCCCATCCACGTCTAGAGCACCCTCCAAATATGCAGAACAGGTATCCACACCCACCCCACCAGGCTCCAGACCACAACCGCGCCTCACCATGCACTCCAACTCAGGGTGACCCTCCACACCTGGGGAAGCTTTATGGCGGCATGGGGAGGCAGGGGTGCAGGACCCACTTGGCTGTGTATACCAACCACTCCCCCCACCCCACCTCTCAGCTTCTCCCCACCTGTACTCCCCTCACCTTGCTGTTGCCTGGCTGAGGGGCACCATCCTCAGGGTGCGTGGGGACCTCCATCTCGGGGTCCTCGTCCATTGGCACTGACTTCACTGCCAGTAAGGCCTGTGGGGAAAACGCCAGGCCTGGGGGCTCAGCCCCAGGGCACCCCACAAAGCGCCCAGGCTGCTAATGCCGTTCGCACACCCGTGACGTTGTGGTGGGGGCAGCAGACGGATTACAGCACCCTGAGCAAGGCCCTGGACCCCTTGCTGCCTGGGGCTGCTACCGGCCCTGAGGACCCTGGCTCCACCCCTCCTGGTACCTGGGGCTCCGTCTGCTGCACTCTGTCCTGAGCTGACAGCAGTTCCTTGTCGATCTGCTCCAGGCGGGAAGCACGGATCTGCAGGGGAGAAAGTGCAGGCTGCGGGCCTCCCACCCAGGCTCTGACTCTGCCTACCCCCCAATTTGGCCTCGCCCCCAGTCCAAATCCGGCCCCATGCTCTGACTCCCCCCAGTCCCTGGTAGGACCCCGCCCATTGCCCAAACCCTGACCTTGGCCCTGACTCCGCCTCCTCCTTGATACGGCCCACCCACCCTAAACCCTAGCCAGTGAGTTGTCTACTCCCGCCTCTGCCCGGCCCCACCCAAGGGTCAACTCTCAACCGCAGGGGCTGGCTCCGCCCACTATTTAGACCCCACCCCGTCCTCCAGGCCTTCCTGACTTTGTCCGCCACTGACTGTCAACTCCCAAGTCTTGTCCGGTTGCAGCTCGTCGCCCTGTCCGCCCCGTCCCCATCGCTGTCGGACTCTGCCCTCCGAGCCTGGTGCTGGCCTAAGCACCCCCCGCCTCCACCCACAACCAGCTCTAGCTCTGGCTCCGCCTCCTGAGCCAGACCCCACCCACAGGGGTCTCTGCCCTCTGATTCGCCCACAGGCATATAACCCCGCCTACTAGCCCAGACCACGCCCACAACAATCTCAGCGCTCCGATTCGCCCGCTGGCTCATGGCCCCGCCCCCACGGCACCTGCGCCCGCTGCACCATCTCGTCCGAGGTGCCGAAGCGCTCCTCCATCAGCGAGCGGATGTGCTGGGCCTCGAACTCCAGCTGCTGACGGATCAAGTCCATCTGCATCGAGAACTGCTGGGAGGGGCAAGTGGGCCGCAGTGAGGGGACGCCCGGACGGGGCCGGGGCCTCCCCGCCGCTCCCCTCGCCGTGGGCGGGGCGAGCACTGCAGACCCCTGGGCACCTTCCTGCCCTCTCACCGTCTCCACGTGCGGGAGCTCGTCCAGGCGCTTGGACAGGCCCTGCAGCTGCGAGTAATACCAGAGCTTCTCCTTTTCCTCCTTCTCAATCTCGTTCAACAGAAAACACCTAGGGGGAGGGCAGGTCGGTGGGCCCCGGCTCACAGTGCGGGAGCCCTGGCCTGTGTGCTGTTTATTCTGATTTTCCTAATCACTTGTTGGGTGCTTACTGTGTGCCAGGTTTAATAAACACTGTGGCAAAGTCTCGCCCGTGGCCCTGCCGGTCCCAGGTGGGAATGGGGTACGGAAATTAATTGAAAGGAGAGAAAGTAGCTCCTTTGTAAATCCTGGTCCTCGGAGAAAAACTGAGGCGGCCGTTCTGACTCTAACACCTCTGCAAGCCCGGCTAATCTCCCTGCAGCCTACACAGGGCAAATGCCAGGCTCGGGCTGCTCCAGGTGCAATAGATTCCCCCTCTTCACGCCCTGTGCACAGACCCTGCTGTTCCCATCTCACAGAGCAGAAGTCTGAGGCTGGGGAGGCGATAGTGTTCTTGCTTGACAGCAGAGAGTGGACTTAACTCCGGGCTGCTCCAGGACTGCCGCATCTGACCCCACACAACCTGGCGGAGTGAGCTAGGCACCCGGACCCTGCCTCCTTCCGGCTCCAGGCCCTAGTTTCTTGGGCTGCAGCCCTTTCTCCACAAAGGCCGCCTTGAGTCCTTCTGGCTCCAGGCCTGACTCTGAGGCCTGGCATTGGACACAGCCCTGTCCCCGGAGACGCCTGCATGTCGGGGCCCCCAGGGACATCTCCCAGGAGCCTTCCCCTCTGCCAGGAATGGCCCCCTCCCCTTTGCCCTCCAGCTGAGGTTAGCTGGGCCAGGAAAGTGGGCTGAGGCTCCACAGGGGGCAGGGTGTGGGCGGGGGGGAGGGCTACTCACTAGGTGGGTGGGCAGGCTCAGTGGTCAGGGCACATGGGGAACATCAGAAAGTAGAGAGGCTGTGGGTGGAACCTTGTGAAAGCAGCCTCTGGTAAGGTTCCCCGCCATCTCACCTTTCCCTGTCCAGTTCCTCCAGCAGCCGGATGGTGGCCCGGCTCAGCTCCCCAAAGCTGTCCTTGGAGGGCCCGGAGCTGTGTACTGGGCTTTCCTCAGGGGTCTGGGCAGCTGGCTCCGGGGCCAGAGCTGGGGGCTGGAACTTGAGGTTGTACAGGCTGGTGATGTCCATCTGCAGGGCTGGATGGGTATGGAGGGAGAGGCCCAGTGAGCACCCCTCCCCTCCTCCCAGTTCCCTCTGGGAGTGGGGCAGGGGCTGCCCCAGTATGCGGGAGGTGGCCCCCAGGCCAGCCCCTTACCTTTCAGCTGCTCCAGCACCTCAGTCTGCCCCGAGGACACCAGCACTCGGGCCTCCTGCTCCAGCTTGCCCTGTAAGTGCTTCAGGACCTCCTGAAGGTGGAGACAGGAAAGAGGGCGGTCAGCATCTGCACCGTGCCGGGTCCAGCCCCCTGGGAGAGGCCCCCAGTCCTGCCTGCCCATCCCTGGGTCCAGCGCCCTGGGGTTTGTCCCTGAGACCCCGGCCCACATCCTCTGCCCTGCCTCCCCTTACCTTCATGCCCGATGTCTCTGTCTCCAGCTTGGACAAGTGGCTTGAGTTATCCCGAAGCTCCTGCCTCAGGTGACTGTTCTCGGCCTTCAAGGCCTCCACCTGCCGCACCAGCTGCTCATAGGGTGCCACGGAGCTCGTCATCTTCAGCTCCTGCAGTGCCTGGAGCCACAGGAGAGAGGAATCATCCAAGGGCCTGGTGAGGGGCTGGCCCCTGACCTAAGCCCAAACCCTCCCACCCAAACCCGGGGTGGATCTTGGGCCGGAGTGGCTGGTGTGGCCTGCTGCAGAGAGGACAGTGCTGGCCCAGGGAATCCGAGGGACAGACAACACGGCAGATGGAGTGACAGACATAGGCAGAGACAATGGGAAACAGAGGGATACAGCCATCGGACAGGTGTTCAGACAGACAGCCCACCGACCAACGGACAAGACCCAGATAGACATCGGCCCTCGCTGCTGGGCCTGGACATATATGCTGACAACCCCCTAGAAGGACAGACAGCATGATAGTTTAAGCCAGCAGGTGGACTGGCCAGCCCACTGCCACCAGGCTCACAGACACAGCCAGAGAGACAGACAGACAGATGGATGGACAGCCAAGACCCTCTCCTGAATAAAGATAGCTATGCAGAGGCTGGGTAGACAGCCTGCCACCTGGTCCAGTCGCTGGACAAGAATGCCGTGGAGGTTCCAAGAAAGCCATGGTCAGGCTGACAGTGGAGCCCCTGCGGCTGGACAGCGGGACAGACAGACCCCAACCTACCACGGTCACCCTGAGGGTGTGGAACCTGGATGCCCTGCAGACCCCACACCCCCCCATCAGTGGTTGGACCTGGAGTAGCTACCTGCCTGGCCTGGTGCCCCTCCGGTCAGCCCTCTGCCAGCCCCTGCAGCCCCCAGTGTCCCACGCCCCATCCCCAGGGCTCTGCCACCGCCGCTGGCTTCTTTGTGTGTCTGACTGTCCTTTCTTGCTCCAGCCCAGCCTCCTCCCTCTGTCCAGCTGGCCAGTGCCTCCTCCCTCTGCTTGGCGCTTGGCCCTCCAGATGAGCCGTCCCAACCCCGGCCCCCCGTCCTCTTTGTTCCCTTCCCATCAGCCCTCACCCCCTCCCTCCGCCTTTGTCTGAGGTGCACCAATGGCAGCCCATCCCCTCCGCCACCTCCTCCCTGGGAGCCCCCTCTCCCCGCCTGCCTGAGCCCCCTCCCCAGATCAGTCAGCCCTTGCCTGCCCACAGCAGGGCACCTGATCCCTCCCTCTCCCCCTCAACCTGGCAGCCCTTGGCCCTCATTCATTCAGTGGCTCATTATCCTCCTCTCTCTCCTCCTCCTCCTCCCCTGCTGAGTCCCCCACCAACCCTGGGGTCCCCAAGGGCACAGCTGGACCTGGAGTTGGGGGAAGAACTCAGCCCCAAGTGGGGTCAGTCCATTCTAACCACTCAGGATCTACTGTGGGCCTGGCCCTGTCATCTGACTCCTTGTCACAATCCTGAGTCTCAGGGACCACCATTAGGCTGTTCAGAGAGAGTAACGGAGGCTAGTGGACACACAAGGCATGACTGGAACCCAGATGCTGCCTTGGAAGTGTCTGGAAGTCCAGGCAGTGCTGGACACACAGAAGCACCTCCCAACCCAAGACCTTGGTTTGCATGTCTGACGAATGGGGAGTACTCGGTTGGCCAGGCCTGTCTTGTGGGCCGATGTGAGTCCAGGTGAAGTGGTGATCATGGAGCAATTTGCAAGTCCCAGGCAGATGGAGCAGTCCCATGAGGACAGTGTGTCAGGTGGGGGAGGCTGGCGACCTGATGACCTCAGCCTTCCCTTCCACGGCTTAGTCAGGGGTCCCAGCTGGGGATCAGAACTGACCAGGGTTGCAGCCAGACCCCTACAGTCCTGATGGAGCCCTGTGTCCTGGCTGAGCCATCACGCCATGCCTGGCCGGGGGGAGCACGCGTCCTGGGCACGTCCTCCCACGCCCCAAACCCAGAGCACCCCACCCAGGCCTTCTCCCAGGCTGTGCTCACAGGGCTTTTCTGGAATGGCCCAGGCCAGGCCTCAGACATCTTTGCTCCCCCCACACCCAGTGGTCACTCCCGAGTTCCCATCAAACTGAAATTGGCAGCAAGGCTGCCCACCAGGCTCCCTCATTATAATCTGGATTCACAAACCGCACACTCTCACAAACCCCTCAAGCTCTGCTCAGCTGGACCTTCCCAGGGAAGCCTTGCCAGCCTCTTCCTGGCCTCCCACAGTCCACTTGGCAGGCTCAGCCAGAGGGAACTTCGAAAGTCACAAGGAGGGTTCCATTTCTTCCCTGCCCCAGTGTCTCCATGGCTTCCCAGCCTCTTCAGCATAAGATGTGACTCCTCCACACACACCCCACATCACTGCCACCAGCAGCTCTCTTTCCCCTAGGCCTTTGCACATTCAGTTCTCCTACCCCAAACACCTTTCCTGACTCCTGCTATCCCTCACATGCAGCTTCCTCCTGGAAGCTCTCCTGCCTACCCCTAGCCCCCAGGCTGCCTCAGGGCCCTGCATCAGAGAGATCTCCATCACTGATGGGAAAGCACCAAGAGCTGGCAGTTTGTCTGAATGAGCACCGAGGGGCCGTATTTCCTCTAATCCGACTGGCCCCCAGAGAGGTGCAGCACCATCGCCTAAAGCACACAGCAGGCCTGCCCGCAGACTCTGGGAGGTCTGGGTGTTGAAACCTGTGAGTGGGTGTTTGCGCGGGACCAGCTGCTGCGAAGCAGACGCCCACCTCCCTGGGACAGTTTCTCCTCTGGCTCCAAGATGAAGAAAGAGGCTTCGGAGTGTGTGCTGAGGCAGAGAGAAAGGGATGCAGATCCATGGCAGAAGAGAGGCCGCACCCCCTGCCCTCCACCCAGGGAAAGCGTTCGCTTACTTTATCTCACTGGGGCTCGGCTGGCCTGGGTCTTCCTCCCTCAGCCCAGCTCCGCGGGTCCCGCCCGAGCTCCCAGTCCTCCACGGACGGGGGGGGCCTCGGTGCGTGGATTCCGGGGCTCCGGGGTTTTGTCGTCGAGGGCGAGGGGCTCTGTGGCGAACAAAGCCCGGTCTGGGCCTGACCAGGCGGCGCCGCCGCTCTGGGCTCTGGGCGAGACCACAGCGAGCGGGGGAGGATGCAGGATGCGGGATGCAGGCGCGGCGGCCAATGGCAGAGCGGGAAGATGGGCTGGTGCCATGGCAACAGCCAATGGCTGCCCGGGGCGGGGACCAGCGGCTGCCGCCGGGCATCGGACCTCCGCACGGGTTCAAGGGGGTGTGCATGTGTGGGGGTGAACCCCCAAAAGGAAGGGCGCACCCTGAGGACCACGACCTCGTGTCTCCACCCCATTCTGGGGTGAAATGGCCTCTTGGAAGCTCCCATGGCTGGATCTGCAGAATTTGATAGTAAACCATCCAGTCTTGGATGTTACATCAGAATCTTAAGGTGGAGGGAGGGAAGCTCCAGGGGCAGGACAGAAAGCCCTTCCCTAAGGATCCAGCCTGGTCTTGTTCGGATGGGTCAGAGCAGGCCAGGTTTGGGGTTCCAGCTGGACCCCCACCCCAAGATTCTGGCTGGTGTAGAGGTTGAGCGTGGTGGATGGGCAGGCACACTGGGAAGCACCTGGGACCCTGCATTTCTCCCTATTTCTCCCTGTCTCCCTGGCAAAGGATCAGAACCTCTGTGGGCATCTGCTGTGACATCATGTCCCTGCCCACATCCCCCTGCTTTCTTTAAATCTCTGTCTGTGTCTCTGTCTCTGGTCGCACCCATAATTCACCTTCACATAAGGGAAGCCAGAGGAGGGAGGGGTCTGGGATACCAGGAGTACATGTCCCTAGCTGTCTCAGATCAACCATAGGTCCCCAGAGGCCACTTGAGGGTTTAACATCAAAAGCCCATATCTGCAGCTGTGGCTCAGGTTGCCCGCTGTCTGAAGGACAAAGAAGGCACCAGGACCAGGAGATGTGGGGGCCTGAATGTTCAGGGCCTCCAGAGCTGGACACAGCTGCCCCCAGCCTGTGGAGCTTGGTAAGGGGGGTGCAGTGGGCAGAAAGGCTCTTTCCAGAGGCTGGGAAGGCTGCACTGAGAAGGGGACACTGGTGCTGGGGCTCTTCAGAATGACTAAGAGTTGGTCATGGGGTCAAGGAGGAGAAAAGCATTCCAGGCCGAGGGAACAGCATGTGCAATGCCCAGAGCCAGGAGAGACCAGAGCCCACTCAGGAAAGATGGACTCCTGGGGGGCCACGGAGGACAGAGGGCAGTGGGGCTGGACCAGAGAAGTTATGAAGCATTTAGAGCAGGCGCAGTCCCCCTGGAGGAGTCATGGGGCTGAACTGACTATGGAAAAGCAGGGCAGACTGGGCAAAGCTAGAATGAGGGTGGGGAGAGGACAGAGCCCGGGGCCCTGGCTTCAGCTGCACCTTGATTTCCCTGAATGCCCTTGGGCATGTCTCTCTCTGGCCTCAGCTTCCCCTTTGATCACTGAAGATGGGTTGGAGAATCCCTGCCCCCACTCTGACTGGACCTAAGTCTCAGCTCCCCTACCCAGTCTCAGATGTCACTACTCTCTAGGCCCCTCTCAGCCGGAACCTTAGAGCTGGCAGAGCTTGGGAGGGTCCCATGGCCAGTCTTGTCCTTGTACACATGGGGAAACAGGCTCAGGACAGGGAGCACATTGCTTGAGTTCATGCATGAGCCCCATCAGGCCCTCCCTGGGCATTTATCACTCTGGGTGTGGCTGGGGCCTGGAAGGCTGAGGGCACATGGGAGCTGAGGCTCTAGGGCAAAATGCCCTTGTCTCCAAGCCTCCGGAACATCACATCCCTGACACCACTCCAAATCCTTGACCCCGTAAATCTTTGAACCACAACCAGACTCAGGATCACTGGACATTCTAGGACCACAAGAGCCTTGGGAAACTCAGGAGCCTCCCAGGACCCCAGACCCAATCTCAGGGAGCTGAGAAAGCACAGTCACCAGGCCCAGTGAGGGGCCCTCTCCAGTCTCCCTGCCTGGTATCTTCTGCGCCCCCTACCGCGCAAGGATCGCTTCTTCCCATCCCCACCATGAAACACTCCCCCACCCCAGGACTCAGCCCAGCACACAGCCAGTCACTCACGGAGCAGTCTTTGGGCCTTCTCAGCCTGACCCCGGGTGTCTCTTCCCTCTTGATTCCTCGCCCTTCCCCACTGAGCCTGTGCTGTGTCAGGGGCTAGGGGCGGAACCAGGGTGTCCCTCAACTTGGAGCTGGATGGGGGCGCAGGGGAGCAGGAAGGCACGAGGTGGTCACGAGATCAGAGATGGGTTTGGGCTGGGTTGTTGGACAAGGGCCCTGACAGTTGAGGGGGTTCCCCTGAAGAGGGCGGGGGGATTGGCCGGACTAGGCTGAGTCCCCGATTCCCAACCCGGGATGGGTTGCCTAACCACGGTTCTGGGCCTCAGTTTCCCGGGAGTGGAGCGTGTGGGCGAGAAGCCCCGTCAGCACCGCGGACAGCTCCCGCCGGCCTCCAGGTGGTGTCCTCTGCCGGCGCCTCCCTTCGGCGCTCAGGCTGCAGCCCTGCCTGCGTCGTGACCTTGGGGTCCCCGCTACACTCCTCCAGCCTCAGTTTCCTCTTAAAGAGGGGATGTTCTAGCCTCAGGATTCAGAACGATTTCACGGCCGGCAAAGCGCTCGTGCCGGGTGGGATGGATATTACTATAAACATCAGCGTGGGAGCACATCTAAGTGGACCCTACACTCCGCGTCCAGAAGGGGAAACTGAGGCCTGGAGAGGTGCAGGGCGTGGCACGGTCCCCCCACCGGATTGGGCAGGGCGGAGCCTCGACACAGCAAGTCCCGGCAGCAGCTCCTCTGCCCTAGCCAGTTTCCTCGACTGTGCAATTGAGGAGGGGTCCAGGGTGCCTCCCTCGGAGGCCGAAAGCTGGACCTGGCAAGGCCGCGCTTGCGCAAACCCCGAGTGAGGGTGTCCCTGCGGTGCGGGGGAGGGGCTCCCAATCCGGCAACCATCTTGAGGCGGTTTCCCTAGCAACAGTCTCCACAGCGACTGCTTGAGACCCCAGACCCGTCCAGATTTCCTGCACGTGCCCGTGTGCCTCCTGCTGCCGCGACCACGTTCCCGCGGTCCTCATCCCGTCCCGGGTTGCGGCTCTCTCGCCCTAGCCGTGCTTACGGTCAGGCCCCTCCCCCGGTGGCCGAGACCCCCGCGCCCTACCTGGTCCCCGAAGAAAGCCGAGTGCAGCAGGCTCAGCAGCCCCAGGAGCCCCATGGAGCCGCGGCCGCCTAGACCAGCCCGCGCCCCGCCCCTCTGCCGCCGGGGTGGGGGTGGGGGGAACCGGCCTGGACACCCTGCGCCTGCGCGGAACAAGGGGTGGAGAGGGGTCACACAGCGAGGCCAGGGCGGGGACTCTAACGCGAAGGGGGAGAATGAGGGGGGTATGGGGTCTCGCACGGGCTGGGGGACGGTGTCTCGAGGGACTGAGGACTTGGGAGGGGCGCCCTGAGGAGATCCCGAGTGAGGGAGGTGGGGGCGGGAACCTGCGCGAACAGAGAGAGCGGGGAGGGGCAGGGGTCTGACCAGGTTGGGGAGCCCTAGAGGTGCGGGAGGGTTCTCTGGGGGCGGCGGAAGGGCGGGGAAGGGCTCTCACTGGAGCTGTGGGAGAGTTCTGGTTGGAAAGTGGGCCCGGATTAGGAAGGGCCCCACTGAGGTTGGAGATCTCGGGGGGATGGAGCGGGGCTCCGCCCTTCAGCCACAGTCGCTGCGCGCTTGGACTGTGTTCCTGCAGAGACCGGGACTGCGCATTCCGTTCATTAGTCATTCAGCAAACACGGGCTGCGCGCCTGCTGTTTGCTAAGTTCTGAGCTGGGCGCTGGGCACGGAGAGGACTGATGGGGCGATACCACGCATAACCAGTCACTTAACTAACACTTATTAAGCACCTACTGTGTTCTGGGCCCTGCGCAATGAACAGTCAAATCCCCTGCCCACGGGGAACTGACATTGAAATGAGAGGGACCAACAGTCAGTAAGACATGTTGGCTAGCTGTGGGCGCCGAGGAGGAAATAACAGGGGAGGCGAGGGGGGTGGGCGTGAAGGGCTGCTGAGGACACTTGAATAGAGACCCGAGAAGTAACTCGAGAGAAGAGCATCCGGCAGAAGGAACAGCCATCACAAAGGGAAGGGACAGGAGGTGACGGCGAGGAGGTGATAGGGCGGGTCAGGCTGTGCAGGGCCCGGGGGTGAGGTGGGCAGAGCAGGGACGCGCCCCATCTGTGCTCACATGCGCCCTCTGGTGGCTAAAGGGAGAACAGGCCGTGGGCAGGGCCGAGAGACCCGGGGTGAGAGGACCGCCGGTCCGGGAAGGGTGGGGTAGGGGAAATGTGGGGGACAGTGGGAGGACAGCAGGAGCATGGTTGGGCAGGATGGTGGGTAGAGCCGGCGCGGGTCGCGGAGGGGGCGTTATCATAAGCTCTGCCATGTCCAGGGAAGGCAAAGCAGCAGCAAGAGAAAGGGGCACTACTTTGGCAGGGATGGTGAGGGTAGTTAGTCTCCAGGAGGTGGTACCATGAATCAGCGGGAAGGGCGTCCGGGCAGAGCGCACCACCCGTGGGAAGGCTTGTAGGGGCAACGTCTGGAGAGGCTGAAGAGCAGCGGGGAGGAGGGGCTTCCTGCACCATGGGAGGACCCTGGGCGTTACTGCCAAAGCCTGAGGAAGACAGTGGGGGAAGAAAGGGGAGGATGACATGCATTTCCTTTGACATCCAGGTGGGAGGTGGTGACGGCCTCGCTTGGGTGGTCGTAGTTGGGGCGGTGGGACGAGGTCGAGCCAGGTTCTTAAGATAGCTGACTGACCAGAAGGCCGGGCTGAGCCCCCAGTCCCAGCGATGGAGCTGCCTCTGACTGAGCTGGTGGAGGCGGCCAGCGGCCTTGGGGTAAGTACTCTTGTTCTAGAGCCCACGGGAGCAGGCAGAGGCAGAAATGGGGCGCGAAGGTCTGAAAGCGGAGCCCGGACGAGAGGGACCGGGTGCTGCTGTCCGGGGTTACGAGGACCCCCGAAACTGCTCCTGGATTAGGGTGCCACCTTGCGGTTGCAGCGTGCGCCGCAGTGTGGATAGGCCGCATGTCTCACTTATGACACTAATACATGTCTCCTAGTCACCCTTCACTGTCACACAAAGTGCAGAAAAAATGTGATCGCTTTAAAAAATTAAAAATGATCACTGCCGCTTCTGCCCTGAGCGCACTAAAGTGGCCAGTAGTGACCAGGGCGGAAGTTTCGTTCAAAGCTTCAAAAGGTGACACACAGAAAGGCCATCATTAAAAAAGTCCACGAATGGTAAATGCTGGAGGATGTAGAGAAAAGGGACCCCTCCTGCACTGCTGGCGGGGATGCAGCTTGGTGCAGCCACTGTGGAGGACAGTATGGAGGTTCCTTAAAAAACTAAAACTAGACTTACCCTATGACCCAGCAACTCCACTCCTGGGTACACACCCAGAGAAAACTAATTTGGAAAGACACATGCACTCCAACGTTCACAGCAGCACTATTTACAACAGCCAAGGCACTGAAGCAACCTTCTTTCCTGATAAAGAAGCTGTACACACACACACGTGGAATACCACTCAGCCATAAAAGAAAGAAACAATGCCATTTGCAGCAACATGGTTGGACCTGGAGATTGTCATACTAAGTCAGAAAAAAATATCTTACGTCACTTATAAGTGTAACCTAAAAAAAAGAGACACATAAACTTATTTACAAAACAGTGACTCACAGAAAAACTCATGGTTACCATGGGGGGAGGGTGGATGGGGAGAGAGAAACTGGGAGTTTGGGATTAGCATAAACACATTACTCTATATAAAATAAACAATGACCTACTGTACAGCAGAGAACTATATTATCTTGTAGTAACTTATAATGAAAAAGAATATGAAAAGGTATCTATGTACAACTGAATCACTATGCTGTGTACCAGGAATTAACACAACATTGTAAACTGACTACACTTCAATAAAAAGTGACACAGGCTATGGGGGACCAATGTGGGGGGGCACACTGACGCCGCTGTCTCAGGGAGGGTACTGCATGTTTTTATAGAACACAAGAAGCTTCCCACTAAAGGTCCAGTCAATAATTTTGGCTACGCAGGCCAGCCTCTGCCTGTTGTAGCAAGAAAGCACCAGAACCAGAAAGAAATGGTATGGCTGTGTGCCAATAAAACTTTATTTACAAAACCCTCCCCCAACCCATCAACAAGCCTTACACTGGCAGACAGCCATCCGTACTTCCAGCAGGACGGTCCCATCCTGCAAGATGGAGGGGTTCGACCGCCCCAGGGAACTTGCCTTTTCTCCTGGAGACCTGGCAGCTTGAAAGCTCTGCACACCTGTGTAGCTCTTCATGCTCAGAAACAAAACCCATGTCCCCTTGGAGGGCACATTTGCTCTGAGCATGCCTCTCCCCTCTGCCAATTGCCAAGTGAATAACATGTCATCAGTTTCACTTTTTTTTAAGTTATGGAGATTCCAAACTAGACAATTGAATCTACAATGAAGCCTCACCTGCTCTGTCCTTCTCTTCCTAGCTGCTGGGGTCAGGCAGGCAGTTCACAGAGGTGGGAGGTCACACTGAAGTAAATTTGGCCCGTGTGGCCCAGAGACCTTCCAGATGGCAGCTCTCTACCCATCATCTTTACCATCACCCACCAGTGCTTTCTGGTGACCCGAACCCACAGGCTGCCTCCCCATCTTTTCCTCCTGCTAGGTGTAGTCCAGACTCACCTGTCCCTTCTCAGCCCCACACGGGAACCACCATTCCTGCAGGGCCCTGGTTCCTGGAGAGCTTTAGAAACCGGAGGTCCAGCAGCATTCTGACTGTTCCTCACGTGACCGCCCTCTTTTTCTGGGGGATTTGTTAGGGGGTAGACACTATAGCACAGAGGCCACAGAGAATCTGGTCTCAACGCTTGGGTCCTTCTGCCAAACTGGACCAACCTAAACGCTTTATCTTGTCACGCAATCTTTCCTGAAGTCAGCTGTCTTCTCCATTAGATTATAAACACAGTGACCCTTGCTTTCTGGTTAACAACTTCATGATCCCACCCACCAGACACCCCAGGAAAGCTCCTCAGACTCAGCGAGCTGGGCTATCACCGTGTCCTACAGCAGGAAACCCAGGGTAACGTGCTGTCCAGTACTGGCCCACCTGAGCCTCCACGTTTTATGCGGTCCCGCTCCCTTTTCCTGGGTATTGACACACCGCACACGCTAAGGACCTGCCAGACTTAGGACTAGAGAAGTTGGTGCCTTTATTGACCAGCAGGCTACTTGAGGGGGATGAAGCGGGAGGAGTGGGTGGCCCCGATGCCAGGCCGGCCGTGCTTCACGGGCTTGTAGGTGATTGAGAACTCGCCTAAGTAGTGGCCGATCATCTCGGGCTGTGGAGGGGGGAAACGGGGTGGTCAGGCGGGCGTGGGCGGCCGGGTCCTCCAGCCGCCCGGCCCAGCACAGCCCACACGCACCTTGATCTCCACTTGGTTGAAGGTCTTGCCGTTGTACACGCCCACCATGCTGCCCACCATCTCGGGCAAAATAATCATATCGCGCAGGTGCGTCTTCACCACCTCGGGCTTTTCCATGGGCGGCGCCTCCTTCTTGGCCTTGCGCAGGCGCTTCAGCAGCGAGTGCTGCTTCCTCCGCAGGCCCCGGTTCAGACGCCGCCGCTGCCGCGCGCTGTACAGCTGCATCAGCTGCTCGCTGGGGACAGAGCGGCACGGCGCGGGTGACCTGAGCCCGGGCCGAGCCCCACCGTCCACCCACGAACGTTCCCGCTCCCTGTCGTGCCCTCAGAGCAATGCTCACGGTCAGGCTGGGACTCACGGCCCCGTGCCAAATGCTCAGGGGAAGCCCTCCAATTCCAGAATCTCCACTTTGCTGTCTACATAGGAGGAAACCGAGGATGGACTACAGGTGGGCGGAGCAGCTGGAACTTCGAGGACAAACTGCTAAGATTCTAAGGCCTCAGGAACCCTGGAGCGGGGCAACCCTGAGAAGCTCCCAGCCAGCGAGGAGCCTGCGTAGTGCTCCCCAGGAAGCCGGCCCCTCCAAGCCTGGATCCACGCACAGCTTCAGGAGAAAGGGCGTCCCTGGCTGTTAGCAAGCCTCCTTCCAAATCTAGGGACCCGGGCCCCGCACCCACTCTGCCCAGAAGTTTCCGCCTCCGGGAAAAATTAGACTGCGGTCGGCAAATCCCAGCCTGCTGATGCCCAATCTTACAAAGCAGCCGAAGACAGCCTTTGCATTTCCAACTGAGTGGAAAGACGTCCAAGGGGGACACGCGGAAACCTTATTAAATTCAACCCTCATAGTCTCCAGATAGTTTGAGCGCACGCAGCCCCGCCCGCGTCAGCAGGGCAGGCCGCCACCCCCTCTGCCCCGTTGCCACTTACTAGGACATGTCCAGCAGCTGGTCGAGGTCCACGCCGCGGTACGTGAACTTGCGAAAGGTCCGCTTCTTCTTCTGTTCCACTTCCGCCTGCGCGGACCCGGAACCGCGGTGAGCAGGACGCCGAGACCCACCTCTCCCACCCCTACGGCGGGATCACCTGGCTCGCGGCTCCCGCCGAGACACGTGCGGCGCTCGCGGGGACCGAAGCCCGCGAGGACGCACCACCTCTGGCCCGTCTCAGGGCGGCAAGCGCGGCTCCGCGCTACGGGGGCTCGGCTGGGACATGCCGGCCGACGCAGGCCTTCGCTGCCCGGGGTTGTCTCGACACCCACCAGGCCCACCCCTCGCCCGCATATCTGGCGGCTCTGGAGGCCTGCAGGAGGCTGCCGCGGCCGCGCGCCCTGATCCCAGCCTCCACAGAGTGACCAGAGCTTGGATGGCGCCAGATAGGTCCGGCACCGACGCACCAACCGTGAGCACTCACCATCTTGTCGGCTCTTCGGAAAGGCCCGCCCCCTCTGCGCCTGCGCAGTTATCACGAGGTCGCCCACGATGCCCCGCCCCCGGCCTGCGCGCCCACGCGCTTCCGCCTTCCCGACGGAGAACGCGCGCCCTCTGTGGTCGGAGGCCAGAGTGCGGGCTGCGAGACGGAAAGGAGCCCCCGCCGCTCTTGGGTGCTCTCCAAGCTGGGGCCGGCCGCTTAGGGTTTGGGACACTTCCTCACCTGGGGGACGTGGGACGCGTCGCGGCCCCTTCCGGAAACTCGTATCCGTGCTGTGTAATCTCCACGACGGAGCCCACACGTGAAGAGTGTTTCTGGAGTGCCTGTTTGCAGTAGGCGCTGTCAGGCAGGGTTTCTGGGCTGGCCCTCCCCCAGGGAGCTCGCGTTCCAGTGGGCGAGGCCCAAGCCCAGGAACAAGGGCGTACAGATATCTGAGCCAAGAGGAACGTCGGGAGGGGTGGGACACTGGCTTCGCACAGGTGGTCAGAAAAGGCGTCCCTGATAGGGACCAGCCAGCCTCTAACAGACAAAATTATATGAAGTAACAACTGTAGCATTGCAGTACTAGGTTTGTAACACACACAGATGTAATACGTGTAACAATTTCAGCAAGCTCGGGACAAGGGACTAGGACTACATAGGAGTGTTCTTTCAGTATTCACTGGACCTGAGTTAATGTCCATCCGAGTAATTAAGATGTGTGTGGTACCTTGTGGCCCAGCAGTTCAACTCCTGGGTCCATATCCCAAAAACTGAAAGCAGGGACTTGAATAGATGTGCACGTCCATGTTCACAGCAGCACGATTCACAGTAGCCAAGAAGTGGAAACAACCCAAGCGTCCATCAATAGGTGATGGGTAAACACTGTGTGGTCCATCCACACAGTGGAATATTGTTCAGCCTTAAATAGGAAGGACATTTTGACACATGCTACAATGTGGATGGACCTTGAGGACACCACTGAGAGAATCCTGAGACAGAAGGACAAATACTGTATAACCTAACCCTCTCATAAGAGGTCCCTATAGAGGAGTCACATCCACAGAGCCAGGAAATAGGATGTTGGGGGCCAGGGGCTGGGGGAGGGGGGGAGTTAAAGTTTCAGTTTGGGAAGATGAGAAAGTTCTGGAGATGGAGGGGATGGTTACACAACCATGTGAATGTACTTAATGCCACTGATCTGTGTACCTTAAAATGGTTAAAAATGGTAAATCTTATATTTTGCCACAATAGAAAACAACCAAACAGGCACATATGGTAAACTCTAGAGCAACTTCCAAGAAACTCAAAAATTATAATGAAAAAAATATCATTGAGGGGGAGGGTATAGCTCAAGTGGAAGAGCACAAGCTTAGCATACAGAAGGTCCTGGGTTCAATCCCCAGCACCTCCTCTAAAAATAAGTAAGTAAATCTAACTGCCTCCCACCGCCAATAAAAATAAATAAATAAATAAAATATATAAAAGAAAATTTTAAAATTAAAAAAAATCATTAGAAGAATTAAAATGCTACACTAGAAAATACTCATTTAATGCAAAAGAAAACATTAACAGAGGCATACAAGAACAAAAACACACGTGGCATATAGAAAACAGTGAAATGTTTGGCAGAGGTAAGCCCACGCATGTTCCCATGCATGTTGGTGACAATGGGTTGAGGATGCAACCAGCCCCACTGGAAAGGCATGGTCCTGGAAGAGGGGGCAGACGTGCAAAGGCCCTGGGGTAGGAAAGAGCTGCTAAAACAAGAGAAAAGGCTAATGACTCTCCCCTCCCTCCACATGACACCACTGTGCTTCAGTGTCCCTGCTGGGTGGGGGCATCGAGCCTCCAGCCCCTCCTGAGCAGGTGCATGGGGCTTGGTTCAGCCAAGTGGCTTTGTGGGGAGGTGGGGCTGGCCTGGAGGAGGTGAGAAGTCTTGAAGGAGTTCAAAGCCTTCCCCAGCCACTTCCACAGTCCCAATGGGAGAGCCAGTCAAACTCCAGGCCAACGAGGGGACATCCTTCCCTGTCCCCAGTGGAATACAAGCACCGTGTCTGGGGCTACAGAAACTGTCCCTCGAGGTGTGTCGTGTGTGAAGCAAACTTGGTCCCGGGAGCTCCTGGCTTGCTGGAAGTCCCTTCATGGATTGCATGGTGCCCTTTGACCAAAGGATCTTAAATTTGCAGAGAATTCAGCTCGCTAATGAAAGGCACTTTAAAGGGTGGGATGACACGTGGTGGTGATGGGAGGACAAGGGCACGAGGTCCCTGCCGCACCTGCTCCTGCTCCTATAAACCAGGAGGGCAGCAGCTCTGGAGAGGACGGGAGGAGAAGGGGTGCATGGGGGGGTGCCATCTTGGAGGGGCACTTTGGGTATTTGGGTGGAGGTGCCCCTTTTCCTGGCTCTCTGAGCTGAGCCAAACTTCCCTGGCCCCCTTTCCGTATGTGCTGGGCTGGGGGTTGGGTTGAGGCTTTCTGGCTGTTTTGTTCATTACACTATCTAAAGCCAGGCAGGCACACTAGAGGCACCCAGTACATTTTGGAGGAATTGGTTCTATGTTTTGAAATCTTTTTAAAAACTTTTTTTTGAGTTACAGTCAGATTACAATGTTGTGTCAATTTCTGGTGTACAGCACCACTTTTCAGTCACACATGAATATACACATGTTCATTTTCATATTTTCACCGTGCACTACAACATCTTGAATGTTTCTCTGTGCTCTACAGTATGAACTTGCTTATCTATCCTTTATATACCTGTCAGTATCTCCAAATCTCCAACTCCATCTCCCTTCCCACCCTCCTCCCTATGTTTTGAAATCTTGATTGTAGTCTTTACAATGACAGAGTGATCCCCGAAGATGTCCCTGGTCCTGGTCCAGGGACTTGTAGACACGTGACTTTAGAGGCAGAGGGACTTTGCAGGGGGGTTAAGGCCCTTGGGATGGGTGTGACCCTGGATTCCCAGGGGGACCTGTGTCCTCACAGGGTCCTCATCAGAGGGAGGCGGGAGGTCAGAGTCAGAGAGAGACGGGGGATGCTGCGCTGCTGGGGGTGAGGATGGAGGGAGGGGCCGCGAGCCAGGGATGTGGTGCCTCTAGAAGCTGGAAGAGGCAGGAGCCGCTCCTCCCTGGAGCCTCTGAAGGACCCGCCCTGCCCACGCCTGGATTTTAGCCGAGTCGGACTCCTGACCTCCAAAACTGAGATAATCCATGTTATTTTAAACCACCAAGTTTCAGTGATTAGCCACAGCGGCTCCTGGCGTCCCACACAGACTGAGAACGTCTGTTCTCAGACGTTCCTGGGACCCAGGAGCCCTCCCCACCTAGCGGAGGCCAGCCCCAAGCCCAGACAGGCTCCCCTCCATCCTCAGGGGGGAAACAGGGGCTTCAAATGGCAAAGCTCCCTAAGTCTGGGGTAGGGGGCAGTCAAGAAAATGGACAGAAACCATGTGGTACGAGACCAAAACACCTAGGGCGGGCAGGGCCCTGCAGACGGAATTTGCCGGCTAGGCTCGCGGTGTCCACAGGAGGGGTGGCCGCTGCGGGGTGGGTCAGAACTTGTCCCATCCCACCTACCTGGCTCCCAAGACCCATCCTCATCTCTAGGACCCACCCTTGCTTGGACTTGAGTCAAAAGGTCAGGGTCCAGCTGCTCCACTGCCCACGCCTGGCCCACCTCTCAGGCTGTGTGAACATTGGTGGGGCCTCACCAAGAGCCCCCAAGGCGCTCACCATGACCCGGCCTCCTTCAGCTCCAGGAGCTGTGTCCCACCAGCCCTGAACTGGGGGTCCCAACACCCACACCACCCACGCCAACAGCGCAGCTCATGGAAAGGTGAGCAGCCTGCAGGGTCTAGGGGTGCTGGGCCCACCGTACCCAGATCCGTCGAGATGCCTCTTCCTTGGCGCCAGCCAGCGGCCCTGAACCCCAGAACCCAGAGCCCCTCACAGTGGACCTGCAGCTCTGACCAGGCAGCCACCCCCAGACCAGACCCCCAGGCCCACCACGGAGGGCCTGGGACGCTCCCACGGGAAGGACTCCTTGCAGCAGGAGCAGGAGGAATAACAGAGACAACGTGGGTTTCTAATCCAAACTCACTTTCTTTATTCAAACTGCTCAGCGGGGACGCCCCGATGCCGCGTGTGCGGGCGATGGGATGCGGGCCTCCTGGTCCTGCACGCCGGGCCAGACGCAGGCGGCGCGGCCCCCACAGCGCGCCTGCAGACACTGCCAGGCACGCCAGTCGACAAAAGCAAGGAATAAACAAAAACAAAACACACTCAGTAGGACTTCTTCTTCAAGCTCCCAGAGTTTCTGGACCAAAGAGTCCCAACCCTCAAAGCCAGGAGTGAGGGACTAAAAATGCCCCTCACCTCCACCAGTGCCGACGGAAACCCTGTTTTAAATTAAAAAATAAGCCAGTATACATCGTAGAAAATTTCTCTTAAAAATCTCACAATTTGTAAATGTATATTTTTTTCTTTAACATAAAAGTTTACAATATACGGTAAAACAAAAGGCTCAGGAAAATAATTTCAAAAAAAAAAGGAGGAAAAAGAAACCTGAAGTTTTGAATTAAAGCTGAAGACTTTTTCTTTAAACCCTGTTGTTGAACCAGTGACTTTTTTTTTATTGTGCTGATGGGTTAGAGAAAGAAATATATTTAAAAACTTCAGTCCAGATACCCACAGCCGCTTCCAAAGCCTCTCGCCCCCCCGCCCCCCTGGTTGAGTCGGTATCTCTGCCCAAGTCTGTGATTGTCACGAGTTCACAAGTTCGAATCCTGGGTCTCAGCCGCCTGATGTCCGCGTGGCTCCCGCAGCTAGCGTCGGTAGGGGTGGAATCCTTGCACATTGTGGTTCTGACCGCGTCCAAAGCCACTTCCGCCGGCGGGGGGACCCCCTGAGCCTGGCACCGAGGGGCCTCCGTAGGAGGGGGGCTGCTGGCTGGGGTCTGAGAAGCCCTGTCCGAAGCTGGCCAAGTCCTGTCCGTACCCTGCAGGGAAGAACCCAGTGAGCTGGGGCCGGGGCTCCCGCTCCCATGGGCACCTATGGCCTGGGCCCTGGCTCAGGATGGGGCTAGGACCTGGCGGGCAGAAAGCCCGCCTGGGAGCCCTGGCAGGGCCCTGGACGGCATCTCGCACAGAAAGAAAAGCAGCTCCGAGACCTCAAGGACCCACTGGTCTGTCCTGTCTGTTCTCGGTCCCTTCCCCACTCATTCCGGCTCAGGGCCAGGGACCTAGCAGCAGATCCTAGCAGCTGGAGAGGCCTTGGAGCTTGGAGACACAGATCACCTGGCCTACTGTGGTGGACACCAGGTTTCTAGAGAGTTTGTGTTCAAGTGGAATGCAGGGTGGACTCAGCACAGCTTTCAGGATTTAAGAAAGAACTACAGAGCAGCCCGAGGCACGGAGCTTGGCCCTGAGGCTGGCGACTTCCAGGAAACCAACTGGTATGGGGAGGGGGCAGGGCCCTCCTCTTAGGAGGACCAGACCCCGCACCTCAGAGGGCACAGGAGGCCCACCTGGACCGCACGCTGTGCAGACGGCCCGTCCCAGGGCCCAGATTCCCACTGGGCCTGAGTGTTGTCCTGAGAAAGCAGAGGTCTGGGGCCTGCGGGGTTCTGGCCGGTTGAGATCCTCACCCTGGCAAGGGCCCGTCCCCGAGGGCACCGCCGGGCCCACCCCCGCCCAGGACGGCAGGGGAGGCGATGTCCGTGGCTTGGGCGCAGGCGTGGGGACCATGGAGAAGGCGCCACCTACCTAGGCCACATCACTGCTCAGCCCGACCATAAGGGTGTAAACAAAGTGTGGGCCGAAGCCTGGCGGGTCTGGAGAATAGGTACCCAGGCCTGGCAAGAGACGAGACCAGGGTGACTGCCCCAGGCCGCCTTGGCAGAGAAGCGGTGGGGGGGTGGGGGGCAGGGCGGGGCATACCCCCACTGGGGGCCAGCGACATGTCCTGCTCCAGCTGGGGCGAGAACCCACATACTCAGTGACAATGGCCGGCCAAGTCCCCAGGGGAGCAAGAGCAGGGGATGTGGTGGTGCTGGGAGCAACTGCTCAGTGCCAGGAGACCTTCAGGCCCACCCTGTCCCCGAAGGAGCTCCCCAACCCGGGCCCTAGCACCTACTGGACCAGCACCTGCAGTGAAGCATAAAGCCAACGCCGTGGGCCCCGACGCCTGCTCTGTGCTCTGCACTCGGCAAACCCAGGCACCCAGGGCAGCAGAGCCTGCCAGGCCCCCAAACCTGCTGGCCCTGGACTCCTGCCACGCCATCACCGCTCTTCCATGCCAGTGCCCCAGCGCCTGTCTGAGCTCTGCTGAGCCCAGGTCGCGTGAGCTGTCCGACAACCCTGCGCGGGCATGCCGGGAGGGAGGCCACTCACCATACTGACTGTACGGGAAGTCAGGCTGGGCGGTTGGAGGCTTGCTCATGTCAGGGGCGGCCTGAGACGGAGGTGGTGGGAAGGCCAAAGGTGCAGCCCCCGGAGTGGCCGGTGGAGGGGGGACCCCCGGAGGGGCAAACTGATCCGGTGGGGGAGGTGGAGGCCCGTAGCCAAAACCTACAGACAGACAGGAGAGATAGACACAGACATGGTGCGGCCCATGGCCGAGCCTGCCGGGAGCCACCCAGACCATTTCCATCCAAGGGCCAGGCCTCGAGGACGTCCACAGGCCGGACTGGAACTACACTCGCAGCTCTGCCCAAAGAAACGGCCCTCACTGGGCAGAGACTGACCCACACCAGCCTGGCAGGAGACGGGGGTTTACGTGGGCGGCAGCTGCAGGGAAACACTCCCTCAACACCCCCCAACCCCGTGCTCGCCGAGGACAGGGTCAGAGCCAACGCGCAGGCAGGGTCATGGCCACCCTCTACCCTGTCAGAAGTAAAACCAGCTGCAGTCTGGGCCCGGAGTGGGCACACCCTGTCCATGCCACATGGCCATCAAGCAGCCTGTAGGCCCAGTCCTGGGTCACCAGCCACCAGGTGGCCACTGAGCCCACAAAGTCGGGTAGACCAAACCCTGTGGGGCCAAGTGAGCTCATCGCCCCAAGGACTGAGAGAGGAGGGCTGGCCCAGTGACACGCTGCAGTGACCACCTGTCACCCCGCACCCCTCAACAGGAACCCAGTCACCGTGCGTGGCTGTCCCCATCTACCCAGGGTGCTGGGAAGGAAGGGGTGGCCCACCTTCCGGGGGTGCCTGCCGCCAGCCATCATGAGAAAGCTGAGCAGAGAAAGTGAATCAAGTCCTTCGGCTGAATCACAGAGACCGGGTCCCGAGGCTGGGACGCCTCACAGGCCCGCCTGCTGACAGAGCACACTTCTGTGCAGCACGGCCACGCCGCGCCCCCCCAGAGAGGTTGAAGGGTGCCAGGCTGGAGGCTCAGAACCCCAGAAGGGCCGCGGGCACTTACTGAACTGCGGCGGGGCGCCGTAGCCCTGGGGGAAGCCCTGAGGAGGTGGGAACCCTCCAGGAGGGGTGGACACGATGTAAGAGGTGAACGGCGGGGGTGGGGGGGGAGCTCCTCTTCCCGCAGGAGGCGGACCGTAGCCACCTGGAACACAGGACGCAGGGTGAGGACCAGAGCTCGGCTCACAGCCCCACCTGCTAGACGCAGGCTGCCCGTTTCAGATTCCCTTCTCCCCTTTTCTGGGGCAGGACTCACCGATCGCCTGTCCTGCCGGCACCCACATTCCTGCACAGGAAACACAGGGTTCAGGTGGGGTGGGTGCCCAGTCGGCACCACACTGCAGACTGGGGACCCCCCGCCCTGCCACAGGACCTGGGGTCCTGACACATTCCAGGTGCACCCACAGATCAGGGACTCAGATGCACGAGTGGGATCTCAGGTTGGGAGGTGGGAACCTGGGGCCAGACTCCACAGTCAAATGCTAGTTTTTCACCTGCTGGTGGATGTGAGGGCCTCAGGTCTCATTAGATGGTTTCCTACAGCTGCAGTTTTTTTTTTTTTTTTTTTTTTTTGCAATAAAACACGTATTTTAAAAGCCAGCTCTGGAAAGACCCAGGAGAAAGCCCCAAGCCGGGCAGAGACGGCTCTGCGGGTGCAGGGGTGCCAGTGCCCTGGGAGCAGTCAGGCCTGCCTGGCCTCCTTGGTGCCCTCCCTGGATGCTGGCCCTTCTTGGGGTTCTAAAGCGGGTGGAGGCTCCGGCTCCTGTCCTGGGACCCCTGGTCACCCCAACCCTCCTGCAGAGCTGTCCTCAAAAGCTCTGCCAATGCCACATGGAGGACCCACAGCCCAGAGAGCCGGAAAAGACCCTAAGGGCCCAAGAGGCAGCAGGACTCCGAGCTTCCTTCTGGCCCAGGGAGCAGCCCACTCTTCCCCTGAGGATCTGATCTGAGGCCCTGGCCACTCCCAACCCCTCTTCTGGGTGGGCACAATACTCAGTGCAGGGGACGGTCTCCCTGATACCCCCTACCTGGAGGCACTGCCTCAGCAGCCCCCAACCAAGGCCAGCACCGGGAAAGGACCCAGAGCTCACTCAGACCAGCCTGGCCCTCAGGGAGGACACCCACTGCAGCTCTGTGGCCGCGATGACCACCAAGGGTCACTCGACTCTCCAGCCTTGCTGTCTCCCTCCGTGGGCAGTGAACTGGCAGTGAGTGCCAGTACCCACCGCAGGCCTGCAGGAGGGCCAGGCACCGGCTCCTGGGACGAGCGTGCACCTCCGGGCCGGACGGGGAGCCCCGACATGGCCTGCACGAGCACCAGGAGCCCTGCCCCGGCCCCGCAGCTACCCGGGCTGGCCGCGGGTACGAGCCTTACCTTGTGGGCCGTATCCCTGCTGCCACGTGGGCGGGGGCTGGCCTGCCCAGCCATTGGCGGCACTGGGCACGACCCGGCTGCCCCACTGGCTGGCACCCGGCTGTCCTGGCGCTTGGCTTTTGCTGTCCCGAGGCTCGGCCCGCTTAACTTCCACCTAGACAAACCGAGCTCTGGTTCAGGGAGATGCCGGGGGTCTCGGACCCCATCCCTTCAGACACACCCTCAAGTAACTTACAACTAAACTTAGCATCTTATTACAACTTAAAACTAAATACTTAACTATAAACCTTATTTAGGCCATTAACTTTTTTCTTAAAAAAAATTAAAAAAATTTTTTTTGTTTAAAAAATGTTTCTCAGGTACAACAGATCCAACTGTAAGACAAGCAAAGCCCTGCCCACGGGGGGCAGGCCTGGGGACCAGGACCCCCAGAGCCCTCTGTGCGGACCAGGGCCTTCCATCCAGCTAAGTGGCCCCAGAGACTGGGATCGCCCCATCACAGGCACCTCCGGCCGCGGGGAGGGACCTGGGCTGGGAGCAGCCCAGGCCGCCAGACAAGCCGGCCCTCTCCAGACCCACCCCTGCTGCACCTTCAGCTCATACCTGAGAAACACAGCTGGTTTACTTAGGTTTTTATTTAAAATGTCTAATGGAAGATAAAGACTTACCTTCCCCAGGCTAACGCTTAAAGAATCTCAATTAACTCAAAACAATGTCAGAGGAAATGGATGTGGTAAGAGGATCTTACATTACATCTAACAAAAAGTAAACAAACATGCAATAAAATGGACATTTGAATCAGTAAGCAATCTTCATACTGTGTTAGGTCAGCAGCCCGGGCCCTCCCTCTCTCGGACGTGTCAGGTGTCAGGAGCCGGCGCGGGGAGGCCTGGCCGCCGCTCACCCCCCAAAGCCTTCCCTGTGCAGGCAGTCTGACAGCAGAGACCCCCGTTCCAGGCCTGCCGGGACCCCAAGTGTTTCTGGCTGGTAGGATAAGTGTGAATGAGCAGAAAGAGACAAGGACCCACTTGGAGTCGTCCTTGGGGCCCCATCTTGTGAGCCTAGCACCAGGTGTTCTG